GACCAATAAACAACTTGATCATCCACCAGGCCTGACTGCCAGGCTGATTACAGCCAGTTTTCACAAAGCCTGGTAAAACAGAGCATTGGTCCAGAGGGGCTGTAATCCTGTTCAGCTGAGGCACCTCAGTGGGCCAGGCACTGCAGATGTCATGTACCCACACCTGGGTGTGCACCTAGGTGAAGCAGGACATCAGTGACTTCCTGTAAAACCACCAAGGAGATCACTGCTGGAGAAAGCTAAGCAACAGAAATATCTAAGTTTTAGAGAAGTCAGGTCTCAGAAAGCCAAAAGCACTTTACCCCAACTGTGAAGTACCTGTAACACTTCAGGACAACTTATAATCTTCTGCATCTTGTTCCTCTTCCTCAGCAAAAATGGGAATCCTGATTTTATCTTTCCTTTTACAGTTCTTTGACCTAAAGTGCAAAGGACTGATTCAATTTTTGGTACCATGACTACTCTCTTGCTCGTACCTCTTTAATGTGTGTCTTGTGCCAAAGAATATTAATTATTGTAGGCTACAGTGAAGTCCATCCCTACCCCCACTTGAGCCTCTGAAATGAACAGTGTAGTTGAACTTTGCCAGCAACTGTTAGGAAAAGGGCCAAGAACAGACTAATAGGAAAGATACTGAGGATTTTTTGTTTTTCTGCTAAACCATGTTTTTGTAATTACGAATACTTGGTTGAAATTGCTTAGAAAAGGAAATGCGCATAAAATGGTCCATAGAGTTAAACTAACTACATATTAGAGTTGAAAGAATATAAGGCTGGTCTCACTCCGTTGCACTCGCATACACAAAACCCCTTCTCAAAAGGAATTTGGCTTGAGAAGGCAGATCTGGAGACAAATCTTAGTTAACTTCAGGCCCATGTGCCATATTGTCTGGTTTATGACTGACCCAAATGGCCTAAAAGCAAAGGACATTCATACTAAACAAAAGCAATGGCTGAAAGAAAGAGAAAGAGGAATTTGAAAGCTTCTACTCAAAAGTTGGTTCCTGACTCCGGATCAGCAATTACTTTATACTCCTAAAACTTTCTTCTACTAGACTGGAGAGAAGCAGGACTACTTTATTTTGCTCAGATTCACACAGACGCTGCTTTAATCATCCCCCACTTGCTCCTGCCACTTCTCCCCAAGCTTAGGTTTGTAAAATCCTGCATCATTAAATTGAGATCACTTGCCAAGGCAGCTTTCTCTTGCTTTCCAGGATGGAGGATTCTGGGGTATCAAAACAAAGTTTTTCAAGTGTAGGAAATTACAACTTTGTCCCCTCCGTAAATAAATAAAGGAGTAAGTTGCAGTAGGACCACTTCAAACTGCTGTACTTCAAATAGCGTTTTAGCATTTCCATTTAAATGGTTTTCTCTAAGAGATGGCAATAAAACAGAAGCCGCCTGCTCCTGACTCCCATCACACTGAGGCATATGTAGTGTTACAGGCATCTCTCATTGTAAAAGGAAAAATGTCATCCTAGAGTGAGAAAGCTCAGCATTTGGTTTATAAAACAACATTTTGTGATTCAGCCTTAAGAAAGTCTTGGGTTTAGTAAAAGGAAAATTAAAACTTATCCTTGACTGATACAGTGAACTAAACTTTTAGAAGCATATGTGCAATATTTAAGTGCTGTCAAACACTTTCACTTTCCATAGTAACAAGCCCCTTTCCCTGTACACAAACCAGGTTTGATGCATAAACAATATTGCTGAAAACACGTCCAAAAATAAAGCAAGGTCTACTTTATTACAAATGTAGTTTTTAAGGCTGATTCTAACCTTGTACAGTCCCTTATGTAACCAGCAGTATGCTGCCATTTGGCCAAGATCAAAATTAAGCCTCCCATCTCAATAAACAGTACCGCAAAGCACATTATAGTGGGAAACTGGTAAAGTATGTATGACTATTTTTACCCACACCGTGTGTAATTGTGTCGAAGCCTGTGTTAGCAACTAACTATTGCCATCTTAAGGTGGCCCTTCGTATTGCTGCAGATGAAGTCACACTAGCTGCTGCTGCTACTGTGCACTGCTTGTTATACACCCCTGTCACTTGCAAGTTGTTGAAGTTGGTTAGAAGTGCTCGCTCCAAAAATCAGCCAAATCCTGCAGTACAGCTCTCTTTTGAAAGAAACACAGAATGTGTTTAATATCAAGAAAAGGCATTGCAAGATAAACACTTTCCGTCTCCCTCCTTCCTCTTACATAAAATTGTAGACATCTAATCCCTGGCCAAGCAGATCTGCCAAACCCAGACCTCTGTTTCCGGCAACCCTAAGTGGTGGTGTTGCATTTGTTTTGCCTAGCTGTTCCACTATAGCCTACTTTCCTAGACAGTTCCGTAACCAGATAGTGCTCAAAGTGCTTCATAAACTATTAATTTACATTGTAGACATGGTGCGAGATGACTCTTGACCTGATTTATACATAGGAAGTACAGGCACAGAACTATGGAGAGGTGCAGTCAGGGCATTCCTACCTTCCAGCTCTAGGTGATGAAAACCTTCACAAAGCTAAGTATCTTGGTGGATTAAAAGAACCCTCTTGGTGCCTTTTATCTGTAAGGCATGTCTGACATCTCAAATTTTCTGAATGTGCTTTAATCCAATGAGCAAGCAAGCAACTTCTATCTGAGCAGCCCATGAACATTTTTGTACTCACAGATCTCCTGTCGCTCCTGCAACTCCCACCTCCAAGCATGAGCAGTGATGACACCAGGACAGAGCATAACCAGGAAGTTAAAAACAAATCCAGAAACAGAAACATCCTTCCCATGTCACTGGTTCCAAACCCATCCACAGACGGAGTGAATGCAGTGCCACCTCCTCCTGTAAAAGGAATTCCCTATTTTCGGTCCAATGGGCCTGTGAAAAAGCTTCCATCCCCTGCTCGTTCAGCCAGATGTACTCCGCAGGGAAATGGAAAACTGGAAAGGATACAAAATGGCCATCTCATCTGCACAAGTGCTCCAACAAGACAGCACTGACACAGCAGCAGGAAAACCTGCATCCCCAGTACCTGCTGTTGTATCTTGCCTGAGATTGCAAATGAGACCTGAACACTCTAATAACCTCATATTTCTCCTAAAACAACTTAGAGATAAGCCTAGACGCATTAAAGTAAAACAAATAAATCCTAAAATCTGTTGAACACACATTTATTTTGCATGTAAAAGTTACCCTTAAATATAAAACCATCCAAATTTATCAGATTTTTTAAAAATTGCAACACTGCAACTCTCCAACACTTTTGGCACCCTTTAAGAACATTGAATTAATTTGGGTACAAACTAGATAGTTCCCCTTGTTTGTTGCCCTTCCCTTCACTGTTTACATCTTGCCTACTGCAAATAGACCTGTCCCAAAGGCAGGCACATCAACTTGTTACCCTCAGCTGCTTTTCTTTGCAACTTAAATATGATTTAGTTTCACTAGACTTCGACTTTGCATAAAGCTGTAGCAACCTACTGTGAAACACTTGCACAATTCAACACAGATCAAAGATAGCCAAGCTTAAAGTGCTTTAATTGAATTTTATAGAAGTAACAGAGCATGTATGTAACTTAGTACTGTCCATTTGTCCTTCAAATAGACACAAGCCTGCTCTTAGAGCCACCGCACCATGTGAACAGAACAGCATACAGCTACACAGCCATTTATACAGCTAACCTTGTTAAGATGATGACTTTTGCAATTAAGGTTGAACATCCCGTTAAGTTACCTGAATGTGCCTGACAGTTCTGTGTGAGCAGGTGACTTCAGCCCCGGTGTTACTCAGACTGCCACGCTGTGGGCCTTTCTAGTTGTGCAGCCACCCAGGGGTGCGGTGTTCCCCCCTTACTCTGCCCAACAGTGGCACCCAGTGGTCAAGTGTTTTCATGAACACTGGGAAACAGCTGCTGCTCCCAAGTTCCCACCCACTGACTTTCCTGAACATAGGTAGGCGGTTTAAATGCACTGTTTGGCTACTGAGGTTCAAAATACTACCCACTATTTAAGCTGTCTGGAAAGCCTGAGACTACCACCGCTGGTGAAGACTAGCCAGAGCTAGGAAGAATGCACAGTACCTGAAAAGCTGCACAGAAGGCAGCAAGGCACGTCCAAACAGGAGACCAGGCTACTGTAAGGTCAAACACAACAGCAAATTTGTTCTTTTAAAAACACAAGCATAACACCTCAGGCAACAAGGTATTTTACATGTCCTTTTCTGAATAGCTACAGACTGTGAAAGGATTCCTGGGCAAGAGAAGATTATTTTGCCCTTGATGATGCAGCTCTGCTTTTCTAAAGGTCCTAGTACTCAAACTGATTTCCAGGAGTGTGATACAGCACATCAGACAAACAGTCTACACATGATGCAGTCTCCCAAGAATCAAAGGCAGTGGCAAGGCTAACAAAGCCTCCAGACATTAAAAGGCATTCAGGAATCTCCATACTATGTTGTTTTCCATCAGTAGCCAGAAAAGGATGATGCTTCTGAGATTTGGGGCATTAACTGAACAGAAACATGTAGAGCTGAGCCCAAATACAAAGACCAGGACTAAATTCTGAAAGATTCCATTTAACATTCTTCCCTCTTACACAGAGAAACTGGTTTCAGGTGACTCATATTTATAGTCTCTATAAATAAACAGAGAGGTCAAATGTCAGGACAGCATGTCAGAGAGATAAGGGAGAAGATAGGAAAAGCAAGCTATGAAGTGCAGAAAAAACAGCACGAACAAATGCTTTTCTCACTAAACCAATGCTGAACTAAAAGCATTATCAGAAAATTCTGTGAACCTAAATTTTTAGTAAATTTAAACTCCCCCATATTGTAGCATAAGGGATTGCGAGAAGGGGATTAAACTGACATTGGAATTGGAGAGATCAATAGATTAAGATCAGATGAATGAAACTGACTTGTAACTCTTAGCCACTTTCTTACCATGAATTGCTCTGGTTTCTAAAAAACCCCATTACTTCTAACAAAGATATAAAATATTCAGCATTACAGTAGTTGAACTTCTTGAAAAAATTTAATGAGACAAATGCCTTCATAATACAGGTAAATTGTACATCGTAGATTACATGTTTATAAGTGAACTGGATTAGTCTTTTCGTAATTGGACAGTTTCCTCTTTAATTCCATCTTTTGTGACAATGCAAATCTTAAGTGCATCACCAGTGTACACATCTCTCTCGGCAGCAGAAATAAAGACATCTTTAACCAGCTGCAAAGCCTTTTCCAGGGTCAGAGGTACATGTTCCACATTTTGCATGTTCTTGAAGCCAATCTAAGAAAAGATGAAAATACATTTTAAAGGAAGTATGATCCATCTAGCATGGAAGCTGTGTCATAGTCTCTGCCTTAGAATGGGCAGATTTAGACAAAAAGAAGAAATGGTTGGTCTGTTCTGGAAACCCAAAGCTGGCAATAGTATTCTTCCATACAGTTTACAGATGCCTGATCAGAACTATGACAGTGCTGATACTCCTCAAAATAACTAGAAGCAGATCCAGTGTACAGCCAGCAGAGCTCCCCCACTCATTCAGCATATACAAGATCACAAAGAACATTCAGATCAGAGCTGATCTAATTCTTCAGAAACTTCTCACTGGGTTAGCAGTATCAGAACTGCACACATGCCTTTTCTCCAGCCATTTGCTCTCAGGAACATTTCTTAAAAGCAAATATTCCTCAACATACCTAGAATTCAAAAATAGCAGCCTATGTTGGAGCATAACCGGTCATATTAAATAGTACATTTCAGCTGTTAAACTTAAGCATCAGAACAGGAAAAGGAGGGGAAAAGTCACTCACTTTGCCTCAAACCTGTAAACGATAAAAAGCTACTTATGACAACTTTGTTTCTGCAGAAGAATTTTTTATTTCTTCAGTTAACAAAGTTCAAAACTAAGTCAAAGCTGAGAATCTGGAGTTGTTTAAAGAAAAAAAAAAAAAGGAAAGATTCTATTCCTTTCTCAGCTGATAAGAACAAAGAGCACTTACTGATTTTTTTAAGCACAGAAGTCATGTTGACATCAGGCTCAACTGACTAAATACCAACACCAATGTCAGAGAATGAAATGAGTAAAACATGCTTTGGCATTTCTGTCATTCAACAATTAACAGCTTCAATTAAATATGAAAATATTCTTCAAGTGTTTTTAAGACAGATTTAACTGAGTAAGTTTCCAGCAGTTTCATGCAAGAACATTCTTAGAAAATGGCGTCCGAGTTGTACAAAACTCAAGACTTCGAAACAAGTGTATGTTAAGTGACAAAATGTATTATATACACCTATTAATTCTGTTTTCTTATTTTAGTATTATTTCATCCTAAGTATCAGACATATATTTATGGCATCAGCTAGGGGAAGAAAAATGAAAAAAACAAGAGAAAACACACCCAAACCACTTCTATGGGAAACATAATTCTCCAATTAAAACATTTACCTGTATTTTAAACAGGCAGTCCACCGCTTGTAGCGCATTAAAAACCTGAACAGATTCTAAAGCAAAACTTTGATTTCTCCTAAGAAGGTAAAGCCACACAATGTATAAATGTATGGATTAACAGTCCTACCTGTAATACATTTAAAAGTTCTCTCAAAAGTAATATTCCCCAAAAGTAAGGCTACATTAATTTGAACATCACAAATATTTACTGAGATAATAAAAAGAAGGACACACACACACAAAAAAAAAAAGAGAGAGAACTATTTTACCTGGTTATCAAGCAATGGTTGCAGCATGGCACTTGCTGATCCACCTGCTTTGAAAGAATCTCTCTGGTATGAGCCCACTGGGTCAAAGCTATATACTGCTCCTTTCCCTAAAAAAAAAAAAAAAAAAAAAAAAAGTATGTAATCACAATCCAGAGACTCTTGATACTGATAAGCATTTACATACAAACCTAGCTCTCTCTAAAAGCAGTCTCTGAAGTACCGCAGATCCCGGCAAGCTTTAACCAAGTAATACTGTGGTATGTTCAGACGATGCTTTCGACAGTAGGCTCGCTATGGTTGTGGCCCGGTACTATATGTAAGGCTATTTTCAATATTTAATCTATAACCATGCTCTAACAGACATTCCCTACAGTACTTACCACAGAAAAAGTGCTGATGCAGAACAATCAAAGCAGAAGATTGTGCTAGAGTGCAGTGCTGCACGAAGAGCTGTGCTGGTTCTAAAGCTAGCACAAAGAGGCAGTTTAGCCATTGTTCCTGAACAATACCGTTCTTGAATTATCTCCTGAGAGCGTGCTTGGATGCCTCTGCATCGCCTTCCCAGAACCAGGGATGATGCTCTGGTCTCTTACACACTTCCCGCTGGAGTCAGGCCAGGTTCTGCAAAGCTTACAAGTTTGCACCGCCATCAGAGATGTAGATGCTCTGAGGCATCTTCCTCCTCTTGAGGAAGACACACTAACCAAGACACAGCAACTGGCCAAGCTCAGCCTTTCTGCTCAGACAGGCTGCACCTGATTTAATAAATGGGCCAGTGCACCTGGCAACACTGCACAGATCAGCCCTAAGAAAGCTAGCAGAGATCCAGAAAGTAACACTAAATCAAACCAAATCAATCTTGATGGACACAAATTAAGCCCATGAACACAAACTTGCACTCTGATTCTTACCAGTTGCTACAGAACCCTCATAATCTTGAGATTTACCATTACACAGGGCCAACTAATCCCTTTTCAGATTCCATATATCACAGCCATGTCTTTGAAAAGCAGTGTGACTTAATGGTAACAACAAACTGGGCAACAGCTGAAATCATCCCAACAAGACCACCTCCGAGCTCCCGCTCAAAGCCAGAGAACACTGTATTTTAGCAACTCAAACAAATCATTGGGCAAGAGCCCAGTAAGTCCTGGAAGGGCTCTATGTTAAACTACAGCTTCTGTGTAGAAGTCACGATTTTCATTAGAGGTTAGTTAACATTTACAAGTACCTTTGTACAAACCTGTCTCTGGAGTAAATCTCCGTATTTAGTAACCTCTACCACACTCACAGACCAGAGTAAAATATATACAATTTTACTGCTAACATCTTTAAAGACGCAATTAAGAAATCCAGCTAAGTTGTTATGAAGTGTTCCAATCTAGATTAAAGTGAGAGGTAAGCAATGTTAGCAGATTTCACTTGAAATCAAGTAATTGTAACACAGTTTTTAGACTTTCAGACCTTCAGCAATAGAAAATCAAGTTAGTAGTGGCAACTGGGAAACAAATCAGATGCATAATAGGCATTTGACCTATATAAGTACCATAATGCCTAAAGGTAGGTGTTAGGAATAGGAACACAAACTTGTTAATTCCATCAGTACACTTGAGATGTAAAAGGATAGCTATCCACCCACAGAAATTTAGACCTATTCACCCACAGAAATTTAGACCCTCTTTTTTATTTTGTTGTTTGAAGTCTTACCTTCTTCATCAAGTCCACCAATTATGTTGTAAACATAGTAAGGAAAGAAACGTCGAGAATACAGAATTGTAGACAGCATTGCTGCGATAGCCCCAGTCGTCATGGTCTTGTTATTGGAATGTTTGTACATCTGCAAGTGGTACAGCACATCCAAAAAGAAAGTCGAACACTAAATTTTACATTCCATCAGTATTACATTGTCTGTAACCTCACTACAGAACAATCTGATGCTAAACAAGATTATTAACTACCACGACAACTGGTCTAAAAGTAAAGCCTTCTTACAGGCCAAAAAATTAACATTTCTCCGAAGTTCTGCCTCATTATAGATGTTACCTCATTAACATTATCCTCTCCAGCTCTTTCATTCTTTAAATTTGTTATGTTACACTTAGTAAGAACACAGCATCAACTTCCCCTGGCTGGTCTTTTACTAGCAATACAACTATGATAAAAACACTTGAAGAAAACCAGCAAAAGTTATACTTAAAACATATCATATTATTGTTCTCAAACGTGATAATAGAAGTTGATAAATACAGTAAGACGGTTAGCTACCTTCAATCTTGCTTCAATAATTTTAGTAAGGGTAAGGCAGTCACCATGGAAACCACTGCATCCAATGACCGTTTGTTCTGTTCTGTAAAATGTAAAATTTTGTTGTGATTTTAGATTTAGTATGAACTATACAACTTTGTTACACAGTAGATTATTATGCAAACATAAAATGTATTTTCAGTGTCCTTAATGCAATCAAGAACAGTTGTCTAAAATGTAGTAACAGATATTTGGTCTATAAAAGGTAACTGTAACCTTCATCTTGGAGAGGACTCATTAAATGCAAGACCACACAGATGTCTTTCTTCAATCCACTGACTTCCACAGCACAACCAAAAAGAAATTCTTAATTTCCTCATGTACCCCTAACTCTAGCTATTATAATTCAGTCTTGCTAGAGGATCTGTTTTGAGATGGGGAGCCTGTTACATCATATCACTCAGGCCAATGCTACGCCCTCTGGCCAGAGGGCTGCTTTAATATTGTAGGATGGTTATGTAACATCTATGTACCCTGCAGGTGGTTTTCTGTGTCAGCATGACAGCGGTTGTTACCTGGCTGCGGGTGCACTATACGTTAGCGATTTGCTCAGTTTCAAAATGTTTTATTAACACTAAGTACATGAATGCATGTTTGAAATTCTAGTAAAATGGTTGAGTCTACAAATATTCACATGCACTTCCAGACTAACACAAAGCAGTCATTCAGAAAACAGTTTAAACAAGATCTTCTCTCAGCCTGTCACTAGAATTACACAAATCCATCACATGCAGTATGCAGACTGTACCACAGTAATTTCAATTTCTTTCTCTTTGATGAGAGAGTCAAAGATACAGTAAGGAGTTAGCCAGGAGAAACTAAGTTCATATGACCTTGCGTCATCAATTTAAAAAAAATTTTTTTTTCAAATCTATACATAGGTAATAGCAGTATACTCACTAAGCATCTGCTACAGTCAAAAGACTGTAAACAGTATGTATTTTTAAACCAAGGAATGCTATCTAGGTGAGTCAAGATAAGCAAAAAATGAGTATTAAAAGTTCAATAATGGAACAACTGAGAGGTTTACCTCTCCAAAAACAAACATCTCTTCAAAGTGTGAGATGGGTCACTAGAGAGACACAGTACAACTGGCACTAGCAGGCACACTTGCCTACCGACACCCAAGTTACTACAGGATTAAGTTTTGCTACAGTTAAGACAAAAGTTCTGATTATCCAGCCAAAAAAACACCTAACTTACATTAAGCCTTGTATCATGCTAAAAACCGTCCTGTTATCAGCTACCTTCAAGAGCATGCAACAAGAAATCTGGCTGTATACAAAACATCACATCTGGCATTACAGCAATAGTCACCATGACTCTAAAATCAATTTTGATACCATAATTTTTCTGAGAATTCTGCTTAAAGTGATAGATCATTCCAGGCAGGTGACACGCTCATCAATACAAAAGATCTTTCATCTGGTTCAATTCTTACAAGATCTGGACTTACAGTTTGTAGCATTTTGGACTGTCCCGGCAGTGAATTGCATAACCTTCACTCAGTCGTGTGTCAGAAGCCACAATAGAAAAGTCTTCTCCAGCAATCGCCAATACAGTCCTTAAAGAAGGGTATTGACATAATCATTACCTTTAAAACAAATATTTTCTTTATCAACAGAGGGACAGACTAGATATTAGTTCTATATCCAGACTCACATTTTGTCAAGCATCTTAGATTCCTTGCTATGTTTCCAACTATGCACATCCCTACATGTGACTCAATACTGGAAGATACTAGACACACTGAAGAAAATGTATGTAAATGATTCTCTATTTTGACTACAAACTGTATGGAAACTTAGTAAAACAGAACTTCTATTCAATGCAAGAACCATGCTCAACGGACTAGCAATTTTAGATGCCTGCTAATGAAAGAGCCTTCTAAAAAAGCTTGACTCTCCAAGCAAAAACAGTAGTCCATCAAAGTACTAAGCATCACTATCATTACACTTAAGTTATCATAATTTTTTAAATCTAATGCTATCCCATGTTATTTACTTATAAATCTAGTTTTCTGATTGCCACATGCGTGCTACTATTAAATAACGACCAGTTATGCATTATTAAAAAAAAATAATAATAATCTAAATAACACTATCCTGGCCAGATCCTGTCTCCAACTCAGGACAAGCGTCTAAAACATCGCTTACCTTTAACAGTTAAGACAAGACAGCTTTCAACCCCGTTAGAGGTTTAAAAGCAGGTAATACGACCGTTACAGAGGTTTTCTGAGCAACTGTAAAGAAACAACCCTACGGCTTATTTTAACCCGTAAAAGTTCTGGAAGCCCGACTGTGCCAAAAGCCACACGAACACGCAAGAACACCTAGAAGAGCTGCACGGATCCGGGGCACGCTCAGCCCAGGGCAAGGCCGAGACCAGCTCTCACCCATACTGTCCCTCTTTCTCTAAAGAGGCGCTAGCAAGGGGAAACAAACCCTCACAAAGTGCCGGGGGGAGGCAAGAATAAGACTAGAGAGAGTCACCACCACCACCACTCTCCTCAGGGCCCCCTCCTCCGGGAAGAGGGTGCGCCTCAGCCCGCCCCATACCCTGCTGCGACTCCTCACCCTCCGTTAAAGGTGTAGGGCGAGAAGCGGTACTGCACGGGCGCGCCGAGCTCGTAGCCCATCTCAGGCCCAGAGTTCGCATAACCGGTGGTGGACAACATCTCCAGAGCGCAGCTCCCTGCTGTCTCACGGCAAAATGGCGGAACCGGAGCCGGAAGTAATGGGGTTTTTTAGAAACCAGAGCAATTCATGGTAAGAAAGTGGCTAAGAGTTACAAGTCAGTTTCATTCATCTGATCTTAATCTATTGATCTCTCCAATTCCAATGTCAGTTTAATCCCCTTCTCGCAATCCCTTATGCTACAATATGGGGGAGTTTAAATTTACTAAAAATTTAGGTTCACAGAATTTTCTGATAATGCTTTTAGTTCAGCATTGGTTTAGTGAGAAAAGCATTTGTTCGTGCTGTTTTTTCTGCACTTCATAGCTTGCTTTTCCTATCTTCTCCCTTATCTCTCTGACATGCTGTCCTGACATTTGACCTCTCTGTTTATTTATAGAGACTATAAATATGAGTCACCTGAAACCAGTTTCTCTGTGTAAGAGGGAAGAATGTTAAATGGAATCTTTCAGAATTTAGTCCTGGTCTTTGTATTTGGGCTCAGCTCTACATGTTTCTGTTCAGTTAATGCCCCAAATCTCAGAAGCATCATCCTTTTCTGGCTACTGATGGAAAACAACATAGTATGGAGATTCCTGAATGCCTTTTAATGTCTGGAGGCTTTGTTAGCCTTGCCACTGCCTTTGATTCTTGGGAGACTGCATCATGTGTAGACTGTTTGTCTGATGTGCTGTATCACACTCCTGGAAATCAGTTTGAGTACTAGGACCTTTAGAAAAGCAGAGCTGCATCATCAAGGGCAAAATAATCTTCTCTTGCCCAGGAATCCTTTCACAGTCTGTAGCTATTCAGAAAAGGACATGTAAAATACCTTGTTGCCTGAGGTGTTATGCTTGTGTTTTTAAAAGAACAAATTTGCTGTTGTGTTTGACCTTACAGTAGCCTGGTCTCCTGTTTGGACGTGCCTTGCTGCCTTCTGTGCAGCTTTTCAGGTACTGTGCATTCTTCCTAGCTCTGGCTAGTCTTCACCAGCGGTGGTAGTCTCAGGCTTTCCAGACAGCTTAAATAGTGGGTAGTATTTTGAACCTCAGTAGCCAAACAGTGCATTTAAACCGCCTACCTATGTTCAGGAAAGTCAGTGGGTGGGAACTTGGGAGCAGCAGCTGTTTCCCAGTGTTCATGAAAACACTTGACCACTGGGTGCCACTGTTGGGCAGAGTA